GTACTGGATGGTCCCTTCGTCCTTGTATGGGACCCTTCATCAACGTTTGTCCACGACTCCGCATCAAAAGGACACGAACTCAGGACCTCCGATGTCGTGCGTGAATGCTGGAACTCTAGACTACTAAGCCAGCATCCAAAAGTGTTAATATCTACCGTCCATCGATCGATGATCTCGCGCAACCCTTCATCCATTGTCTGAGGTATTGTCATTCATGTAATGAATAATTGAGACACTATCGAGTTTTTATAATAGCTAAATTGTAATGTATTTATTTAGTTGAATAAATAAACATTGGTACAAGGATGCACCAATGTTGGGATATTCAGGAAAATATCCCAGAAACTATTCTATTAAGTCTAATGCTATTCTTGGACTTGGAGTTGGTATTATTTACTTATTGGTCAGTACTTATTTCACGTGTCATTTTCCTACTGGTTAATATTGTACAATGTTATTTTCTATTTTATGGTACGATGTGGTCTGCCTGAATGGTATATAAACAAAGTATGTTTGAAATATAATGATTCATATATCCGAGGCTGAAACTTGTGTTCTGGAATCAACTGGCTGGGTTAGACAGGGAAGCGGGGCCAATCAGAACCCTAGGTCGTTCTACTTGTTTGCGCGTCTTTGGTCCGATCAATAATTCGCTACCCCTTAATCCGCAGCATTATTTTCACGTCATAGCAACCAAATATATATGCACCACACAAATCATTAATTTGTGTGAGGGCTGTAATACTGCCCGAGTGCCCAAACCGAAACAGCTGGTTTGCTTAGGGGGTCACACCTGGAGCCTTTAACCCAGAGGTCTAACCCATAAGGCAGTGAGGCGACGTAAAGAAATGAGACCTCATGGTAACCGGTGACTAACGATTGGTTCGTACAAAATTTGTTCCTTCAGGATACTGGAAAAAGACCATGTGTACCGTTGGTTCGGAATCAGGGCTTTCCAACTCCCTTAGGTGGATTCTCCGTGTCCACCGACTCGGTTAGAGAGCCGGACATTCGTCTTTCGTCCTCTCAGTTTCGTAAACAACAGTCCCACTACGAGAAGGCAGTGAGTAAAACTTCCGTAGCATTGGCTGTATACGCGTGTCCATGTGAGAGCATTTCAAGAAGGAGAGCGGACTCTCCCCACTCCAGTCCGTACCAGGGCATTTGGGGACCGGAAGCAAATTATAGCACGTTTCTGTATGTTGATACATAAGAACGAGGCAATTCACGATATTCAACCATGAGATTATTTCACGAAATAATAGTATGCTGTATGTGGAAGTCAGATACAAAACAAAATTAGTAATTATAAATTGGCAAATAATAGCCACATTAGAAAGAAAAACAGTAACAGAAAGCTATGGGACATATTTTTTAATAATATTTGAGTGTGTATGATTTTAGAGGACTGATTGACTACGGTTTGTTATATTCCCATGAAATTAACACCCATAAGCTAGTCGTTTGACATCTACCAATATCTCTATTAATACAAATACAATAAACTCCACCTGGAGTCCCTCCGGGGGCTACTACCGGTCCCAAACCCGGATAAAGGAGGGGGTTGGGCATGGGGTTAGCGTCCCCATCCCATAGAAAACTAACTCGCTAAGAAAACGCTAACCAGTAACAAATACAATAATCAACTGTTCGGTTTTAAGTGTTGAGGGAATTCTCTCAAGATAAGTGACTTGTAACTAGATTTGTAATTGGGTTCATAATTAGCATATAATCAGTCTGATGAACACTAATACTCTGACTGAATCAAGACTTGTGAGATTGTGATCGTATAGTTAAGAATTGGAAATGAATTTTGATCTGACCTTCTGTTCTTTTGTGAACTTAAACGAAAAGTTAAATCCTAATCCTGATTATGTCTATCTAAATAATTATATATAGCTACATAGTAACTGTGCTGTGTTATAACTAGGAGAAGGTTCAAATTGTGATTATAATGGGGGTTCATAATCAGAATATTTGGAAGAAAATACAAGCTTCCCAATCGAAGCATTGATTAATCGAATCACCCCAAGTGTAATTTATTAATAAGAATACCTTCTGATTGAGTATTAGTCAATCCACAGAGTGGCTGATTATTGCAAAATGCAAACTCAATATTTGGATTGTTTTCAAAGTGGATTGGTTGAGGTTAGACATTAACACCGTCGGATGCCGATTCAGTGGTCTACAGACTAAGCGTTCACATGCGAAAGTGAAGGCCCTGAGTTCGAGTCGCACGGGCAGAATCGTGGATACGCACTGCTGAGGAGTCGCATAATAGAACGAAACGGCCGTCCAATGCTTCTAGGTTTTCAATGGTGGTCTAACATCAATCCGTTCATGATCTCAATCAAAAGCTTTCAAAGTAGTTTTTCACGCGTTCATATTAAAATGTACAGAATTGCCGTCTAAAGATTTGTTACTTGATGAATTACCTTCTTTGATTACATTTTAGTCATAATATGAAGGATTTCAACTAAGGACAGATCTATTCATTAAAACTTCAACCAGTTTTTGTTTTCATGCTCTTTTCAGATTATTTTTCGATACAAAATTATACTACTGATTAAGTAGTATAGAAAAAAAAACTCAAAAAATCGTGAAAATTAACTTGTTGATCACATTACACTTATAACAAGTTAATTTTACTGAATATTTCATGATTAATTTCAAATTAAATGAATCATTCTACTGATTTTAACTCATAGAATTAGATTTCCTATGCTTTATGAACTTTAGATTAAATGGTTATGAAAGGATTTGATAACAATGTTTCCATGAAGAACAATTTCTGACAGTCACATAAAAAGGCTTGATCCTTTACTAAACTTAGACTAGGAAATACGGCGTAAAAATGTATTTCAAGTTAACAGCAAAAATATACCAACCGAATTGTATAATTTGTTTATGAATTGCTGTCACATACCATTACTTACAATTAATTGATCACTGAGTGGTAATCAAAGTTATGCGCGTCAGTTAGATAGAATTCTATCTCCCAAGTTGCAATTTGGCTACTAGTCTAGATGGTTCAATATCGCGAGGTGTTTGGATGTTGCCGACAGGAAAACTTAAATCTACGTTTTGGATTATTTGGCATTTGTCAAGAAGGAGTGGCTGTAATCATGTGGGACCTTATGCTCGCTGAGGAATTCGATCCCGTTTCTCCCAGCTTCACAGTTAGAGACGTTACATTTGAGTTATTCAGGTCCTATAGGAGCTCAATCGCGGCCAAGATAGCTCGATGGTAACGCCTTTGACTGTGAAGCTGGGTGGTACGGATCAAACCCTTCAGGTATCATTAGGTCCTTCATGATTAAAGCACCACCTTCCTGACGAGTGATAAATAGTCCGAAACTTATATCCAAAGTTTTCTGATGATTACTTCAAAACACAGTCTCATCTCAACACAGTACACGCGATGTTGAGTCACACAGACCAGTTGCCACATTGGAAATTTGTCATAACAGTTTGAACGATTTCGCTAGGGCGGCAGACCTGTTGAAGTGGTACTGGAAAAATCCGAACTATCGTTCAAGACGTCCGGTAGATCATGGTGATTGGCATTCCATCATCTTTACAGATTAATTCATTCACATCAGACTTCTTGCTGCCAGTGACTCAGATGAACTGAGATTTCAGCAGTTGCCAGATGCAGTTACTGCTTCTAAATCATTGACACGCTCCGACCACCAGGTTTCTCGGACCTTACACAAGCTTGTCACAATTTCATTGAGTAAGTCTTAGTTTATGATCAAACTCTCAGTCACCCTTAATAAACCGACTGGCTCAAATGAGTTGTAAGGAACCTCAAGAAACCTAGTGCTTAAAAGCGGAACGTTTCCTGAAGTCACAAGCCGCATTACTTGCCATTTTCATGGAACCATACTACTGCAACTAATGCAAATTTATACTTTTCAGTGGGATGATAGCCAGTTGTGAACCTAACTCGGTTTGATATTTAGTTGCATCAGAAACTGTAACCAATCTGCTGAAAATGAACCGTTTAGGACGATGAATTTGTTGGCCACTGAAACGCAAGGTAACATGAGCACAAACAAGAGTATGATCGGAGTCCAGATAAATATTCCAAGAGGAGAGACAGTCTTGTATATAACCACGCCACCGGTAGCTGATCGAAATGTGGTCAGTCTGTGTCTAGATTTAAGATGAAGAGGGAAAACGCCAGGTAACACATCAGAGATGAATTTGCCGGAAGCCAGTGCTATCCAGAAACAAGTTGTAATCTGAGCAAAAGTTGAAGTAGACGGTCACCGTTACATAAACTGCAAAAAACAAGACCCATTAAGCAACCCAAACGCCTCTCTTCTGTATCTAGATGCCCAACCTGGACATTCAATTCTCCGACTAGCACTACTGTAGTGAACGCAAATTCAGGTGCACGACACCAATTTATTGTTTAGTGCAAAATTACAGAATGTCTTCGTAAGCCACCAAATACCCTGGTTAGGTCAAGAATGGGGGGAGACAGCTCTCTCTCTCTCCCAAAATGCTCTCACATGGCCACGCGTATACAGTCACTACCACAGAAGTCCTAGTTACTACCTTTTCGCCACTGGGGTGCTATTTACGAAATTGAGAGGATGAAAAGCGAATGTCCGGCGTTTTAACCGACCTGGTGGGTACAAATGATCCATCTAGGGGAGGTAATAAACTCTAGTTCAGACCCAATAGTGCTCATGCGCTCCAGGATACATTTCCAAGCTTTTCAAATCTGCAACATCTAAAATCATTCCTCTCATAATATTTATCGTCTACGAGAATATACTACTGACAAAATATAAGTAGCTTCATTTTAACGTGTTTTTTTCATTGGCATAAAGGACTGACATGTATACAACTACTTACGATGTTAACTTCACATGAATAGGAAAATAATTGAAAACTATCAATAAAATAAAGATTATAAAATATTATTTTACACTGGTTATGAATGCATTACACCGTATGAAAATAAATGATCCTATTCCTAATCATAATTACATAGAGACCTCTGTAATATTAGTTATGATATCACCATTCATGACATTAGTAACTTCACTATCTAATTCATCGTTATAATTGATTCTAGGTAATAATAAGGTTGAATTTATAGGTGTACGACATATTGGACAAGTAATATATCCAATTAAATGATGATTTACTGTAAACATTGCTGATTTATATAATGATTTAAAACAATCAGAACAAATGACGGCATGTCGACATGGTAAAAGTACACGTAGATTATAAGTAGTTTCTAAAGAAAGACATATGAAACAACATGGTCTCCATGTTGTTTGACAAACTTTATCATGATTTATATATGATGTGATTGTTTTCGTTGGTAAAATAGTAGTTTCATCAATTGTGTTCATATTTTCACCAGCATCAAAAAGGATCTATTCAAAACAGAAGAAAAACAAACAATGAGATATTATGGAAAGCTTACCAGTTCATTGTTTATTTGAGCATAAATTACCCTGAAATCAAGAAACAATGATGATAACTCTAGTTAAATGTTTGTATTCAAACAACGCATCATGAATCAGTCAGTAACAACGTAGAACTCCGCACGTACGTACATCAGTTCGACTTGCAATATCACCGAGATGCAATTGTCAATTCAAACCCCATAGTGGTAGAGGTAGTAAAAGTACAGGCAGTAGTCGGGATGATGTTATTCAAGGGGTATAATTCAATGAAATAAATTCCGAAAGAAAAAAATAAAGGACATGAAGAATTCAGAAAATTAGGATTTGGGAGAACACAAAGAGTGGATGTACCTGCACCATTGCAAATTATTTTAAGCCATATCATTCAACGTCTCTAACCGTCGGTCGCTATCATCGCGCTGATCCCAATCAGGTAGTCTACACCTTCCAACATGGCTCAGTCCACTTGTCAGTGACTTCATGGATTTGTGCCATGTTTTAGTCTATCCCCCACCCTAGATTTCTCCCAACCTACTCCTACATCATAGAACATTGCGCGTTGAGGCATTCGATGGTTGGGCCTTCGTAACACATGTCACAGCCATCTCAACTGATGAATTTTCACTAATTCATCAATTGATTTGCCATCGTTACCTAGTACCCGTTTCCTAACAACTGCATTACTTACTCGGTGGTCCCAGGATATACGAGCAATGTTTCGAAGACACCTATGGTCGAATACTAGTAACCTACGAATATCCTCTACCCTTACCGGCCATGTTTCACTGCAATAAAGTAGGACGGAACGAACTGCTGCACAGTAAACACGTCCTTTGGTTGGTAGACGGATATCTCGCCTACGCCATGAATGACGCAAGGTAGCTAAAGCTAGTCGAGCCGTCTGTATCAGTGATGAGATTTCGTCACACACCAGACCACAAGTCAGATAAGTGAGGCGGTCGACACGCTCAACTACTTCACTCCCTATCACTAGTTAAGGTGTCGATGCAACCAAATCCTGAAGTAAGATTTTGCATTTCGAGGGGAAGAATCGCATCCCGAACATGTTTGCATTGTTGCTTAGAGTGGTCAGATGAAATGCTTAATCAATCAAAAGTAAGCAAAGTAGTAAAAAAAATGTGGATCAACCTAAATTTTTACACTACATATCGATATATTAAGATGGGAATTAACAATATGAAAAGTGAAGGATATAGATTGAACCTAAGTACGCCATCAAACACTGATTTTGAGTGATATCACTCAAAATCTATGACCATAGATTAGGGTTATCAACAATGTGTTTAAATCCAACAGTCGATGATTAAATGAACTAACACTTATATCGTCGTTTGCCTCCCTAACTTGATTGTGAACGATTTCTACGCTAAGATAGTGGTTGGAGGTAGTCAACAGGAAACCCTCCGATCACCATCCTATCTCAACATAGTGCATGCAATGTCGAGTCACCTAAATTAGTGGCTACATCGCAATCTGGTCGATAGGATTCGATCTGCACTAAGAAGGACCCAACATACATGACATTGATCACTACCCAGTGATCAATCAATTGTAAATTTCTACGTTAGCATTGCGTATCATATGCTAGTCAATAGAGACAGTTTTTAATATGTTTCAATTAATCAAACTAAAAAGTGTAATTTTATATTAATAATGAAACAACTACAAAGAGAACTAATTAATAACAATAAGCAAAGATGGATAGTGGATAGCAGTGGAATCCAGTTTGACACGCGTCACGTCCTATTTGAAACTCATCAGCTGGATGTACCTGCATCTCAGTACCGTTCGCTTCAAACGCCATCGCGCGTTATCCACTTAGCTACTGGGTCCTGATAGCTACTTCTTGTGCAATATGGTGAAGTTTAAATTAATTTGGAGTTGTTTTTTATCACTTGAATTTTCCCATTGATGTTTAGGACTTAAATTGAACAGTCTCTTACTGACATAGGTTTATACTGTGTGTGTTGCCTCAATATTACCTTAATTCACAAGCATTATAATCAAAGACGCACAAGTAAGTGGCTATCAGGACTCAGTATTTAAGTGAATAACGCGATGGAGGTAGAAGCGAACAGTACTGAGTACGAGTCCCAGAATGAACATCAAGTCAGACGCAGATACATCCAGCTGACGAGTTCAAAATAAGACAAAACGCGCGTCCAACTGGATTCCACTGCTAGCCACTATCGATCTTTGTATATAATGCATGTGACTCAAGGCAATATCCGGGCAGTCCGCACATTATGCACAAATACCAAAAAGAGACAACAATAACCAAGTGAATATATGTTACAATGTTTAGAAATCTTATTAATACTATTATTACCATTACTGACAAACATTTTATTGCAATTTTGAGAAGTAAATATATATTTGTGAATGCATAACTTTGAAAATGGATCAAAAGTTTGTCAACTTTAGTCAATCTATGCAATATTTGATTTGATTCAATCGACTAAATATCAAAACATTAATATAGTTTTACTCACCTGTGGAGTCAGAAGACGGTTCCAATTGGTTTTCCAATATGTATACATGATACTTGTATTCACATGTTCCTCTTCTCGAATCTTTACATGAATTATGTAGCATGTAATATTCTGAAATGACCAAATTGGATCAACATGTCAAAGTAACTAATAGATAACTGAACTCTAATCTTCTAAAATTTGTTAAATTCGTAGCAATTAGATGAATTTATGTGCCTACAGGTAAAATGACAAATCTTTTCTTGCCAAGGTAACAATATCTTCATTTTATTACATCATTGTCGATTATTCCAAACGTTAATTTTATTTCTGACTGACTGTTATCAAGTCACGTTATTCCGAAATGGTACTAACAAGTACTCAGTTACTTTATTATGTAGTCAACTAATATTTTTGACTTTAATGGTTGACATCATGAATCAATTGAAGCTAGACCACTATGGAAAACCTGGAAGCACTGAATGGCCGCTCCATTCTATTGTGAGACTCCTCAGCAATGCGCATCCACGATTCCGCCTCGTGAGATTCGAACCTAGGACCTATCAGTTTCGCGTGCAAGCGCTTAACCACTAGACCACTGGGCCAGCATATAACTGAGTTAATGTCTAACTTCAACTAATCCTCGGAACTGAGTAACACATCCACCAATGTTTTTAGTGAGTTAGTATCTCACAACAGACCCAATTGAACACCACTGATCACTGCTTCCAACTAGAACTCCAGGATATACCTCTTGAAGCCAGTCACTAGTGAGCATCCAGGTTTTTCATCGCAGTCTAGCTTCGACTGACTAATGACATATATATATATATATATATATATATATATATATATATATATATATATATATATATATATATATTCAATCTTGGCCACCACAATTATATGAAGATATAAACTTTCATGTGTAATCTAATTTTAAAATATTATACGTTCTAAACACCCCATGAGAAACTAACTGAACAAAATGAATTCATGTTAAATTCTGCTCAAATCTTTGTCCTTGCTCAATCCAAGTAAATAAAAAGGAACTTTGTGTATGAAATGTTGTTTCAATTCATAATAATAAAACTGAAATATATGATTTTATAACTGACAGTTTCATGACAAAACGTATGAAATACAACATAGTTTAAGTTATTTAACCAGATGTGATTGTTTGAGGTTCGGCATCGTGTGTTCGGGCACAGAGATGATGATGCAATCGATGTCACCATCTTGAAACACCGACTTCGGTGGCTTGGGCATGTTCTACGAATGTCGTCCCAGAGAATTCCACGTCGTGCATTATTTGCCGACTCTGGGACTGGTTGGAAAAAGCGGAGAGGTGGTCAGTGTATGACATGGTGTCGTGGTATGAAAGAAATCTGCGAAAGACTGGCTTCTGTTGGTCCTTCATGACACCCTGGCTGGGGTCCGAGAGATGGTGCAACACAGTGGTTAGGGACGTTATCAGATATGGCTCAGAATAAAAGCCAGTGGCAATCCTGCTGTAACTCTCGTTTACTTTCTTTACAAAAAATGACCGTAACTTTTTTAACTGAAAGGATTCTTTCATGTTGTACACTTCTGTTTCCCCCACTATTATTATTATTTCACTAGCATAGACTAATTTGTGGCCGTTATTGTTCTTTTTCTTTTACACGCACCTTACATTCTTTGTCTCTTCCCATTCTCATTATTATTGTGTGGTGCATATGTATCTGGTGCCCCCTTGTACCAACATTTATGTGTTCAAATAAGATCAAATAAAAAAGATTGTTTGATATCATTAAATTGACATGAATCGTTATGAATGATTGATCTACGAAACAACCATCAGGACATCTAAATTCTTTTTGAAAATCCGACTGATCATTTTTGGTTTTCTTCATTGGCAAATGTCATGAATTTTCTTACAACTGCAGTACTGCTCAAGTGATCAAAGTGTTTTCGTAAGCAACCCCTTAAACGTCTTATTAGGAAATTTAATTCTAAAGGTAATGGAGCAACGTTAGAAGGATTTTTATGTTAGATGAAGTCCAAAGATAGTTTGTATCCCACCCATCTAGTCTGTACCACAGGGTTCGGAAACCAGTTTTTTAATCTCTACGACATATATTCTGTATGCGCCAGCTCAATTTAAACAGAAATCTATCTTTGTTGATCAACATAGTTCTTCATCTTTGTAGATTTTATTGGAACAATAACAAGAACCGTTGTTTATCATTATGCTAATAGTTGTGAGGTATTTTCTTGAATTGAGTTTTACACATATTAGTTGTCTTTACTCAATTTGACAATAGGTGTGACTATTCACACTGAGCTGCTCCTAAGTAAATGATCGGAATGATAAATGGAATACTTAATAAACTTAAACCTCCTTTAAAACGTTGCTGTAGGGCTGGCCTGTTTCAGCACCTGAACTAATGATATCAAGCGAAGTAATTTTGTGTGTCAACTACGTATCTTAGAGGTCGCATCAACACCTGATGGGTTGATGTTTAAAGAAGTTTCGGAATGGATACAGGAAGCTCGCTTAGATATAATGAAGCTAACTTGAGACAGTAATTAGTAATGGTTTCACAAAAAGTAGATAAGGTTTATAAGTAGTTGAATAGTTAGAAGCACATTATTGTTTGACTAGTAGTAAACAGCTGCTGATCTCACTTTAACATGAGTTACCAGCCAATAAACTGGGATGAAATAAAGACCATTAAAAATAAATTTATCTGGAAAAGAATAGCACCCGTCTATTGTATTTGGTCACACATAGGGATTTAAAGTGATGTCCATAATGATGACAGTCATAAGGTGAATATTATTTAATATATATTACTGAAACAGGAAAAACATTGTTATTTTAAAAACACTCTAAACAAAGAACTGTTCAAAGAATGCATTTTCGCACTACGGTTACTGCAAATAAGCTTTAGTTAAAATTAGTTCATCTGTTAAGTCCCACATAGTTTACATTCGAATTTTTAAACTTACTATTTCCTCATCCAGTGAGTCTAGAGTACTTGAAACTAGACCAACAACAATTGAATATTTATCGCGTTTTGAATGATCAGGGCAAGACTGAACGTTCGCGTGTATGGATATGTCTTGACTTCCAGGTCTAGGATCCAGTTAGTATAAACAACAAGGACTTACTTTACAGTATGTCTTTCGGTAGCGTTGGTAACAATATAATCTCTAAGATTTTTGTGGTCACTAGTCAATATGTCATGGAAAGAAGACAATGAAACATCACGTAAGACACAAAACTCGACAGCTTTAATGCTAGAAACAGTTACTCGAATCGGATCACCTAAAGTTGTCAGTCAAATAGTAATTAACTCTCACCATACATATTACTGCCAGACGGCTGAAAGCTAGTTATCACAGAACTATTTCTCAACCTTTTTGTTGATACATCAGATATCATATATCCTCTTGTTAACACAGACATTCCCGAATCAGCGTTTTGGCCATACAACCATAAGATGCTATATTTTAAAGCCAATTATTTTACTTAAATAGGAAACATACACTTTTTCCTTTACAACTTTCAGGATGACAGACAGTATAAGTAAAGCCAAGAAGATTCGAATAAACACACCCTAATTATGTTGGAAATATCCATTGCAGTGGCACAAAACTGAAACCAGGTGCCAAAATCCTGATTTGTTTGGTATTACTTCGGCGTTCACGATGTACGCATGAAAATAATTCCGTTTGGCTAGTACAGTGACCTTTAACAACAAGAAAACAAGTGAATTATTACATTAAGGATAGAAAGGTACTTATACCGAATCATAAGGATGTTCGAATTTTGGGATGATCAACCTCTGACATTATTTATTTATTTATTTGAACACATAAATATTGATAGAAGGGGCACCAAATATATATGCGCCACACAAAATAGTGAGAATGGGAAGAGAAAAAAAGAAAGGTAAGGAGCGTAAGAGAAAGAAAGAAGAACAATAACGACCACAGATTGTTGTAAGGCAGTGTAATAATAATAATAATAATAATAATAATAATAATAATAATAATAATAATAATAATAATAGTAACAATAATAATAGGGGAAACGGAAAGGTAAAACCAGGAGAAATCTTTCAGTTAAGGAAGATACAACCAATTTTTATGAAGAAGGTAAACGAACGTTACAGAAGTATTGCCACTGGCTTCTATTCTGAGCCATGTTTGATAACGTCTCTAGTCACTGTGTCGCAACATCTCTTGGACCCAAACCAGGGAGTCGTGAAAGACCAACAGAAGCCAGTCCTGTGCAGATTTCTTTCATACCACGACACCATGTCATACACTGACCACCTCTCCGCTTTTTCCAACCAGTCCCAGAGTCGGCAAATAATGCACGACGTGGAATTCTCTGGGACGACATTAGTAGAACATATCCAAGTCACCGAAGTCGGTGTTTCAAGATGGTGACATCGATTGCATCATCATCTCTGTGCCCGAACACACGATGCTGAACCTCTGCATTACTAACATGATGTTGCCACTGGATGTCAGCAATCCTTCGGAGACAGAGATGATCGAACACAGAGAGTTGTCTAACGTCCTCAACTCGGAGAGGCCAGGTTTCACAAGCATAGAGCAGAACTGCTCTCACCGACGCGCTGTAGATCCAACCTTTTACAGCCAGACTGACATCACGAAGGCGCCAAAAATGACCCAGATTGGCATAAGCCGCTCTGGCTTTCACTATACGTGCATTGATCTCATCACTCACGCCACCACCAGCACTTATGCAGCTACCTAGATACACGAACTTCTCGACCACTTCTGTCGGCTCATTCCATGACGTTGGTACACGCTTTAGTTCCCAGACCTTTATAAACAACACAGTCAGTCCCTTAGCCAGAAAGTCACCACTATCTTTAAAAAGAGCCGGAGGTAAGTCATCTGGGCCAGGTGATTTGTAGTGCTTCAAGAGTTGGATTTCCTTGCGGACTTCCGCCTCGTTTGGTGGATCAGTCGTCACCGGCCATGGAGGGCAGGACAGTCTGACCGATGTTGCCGGAGGACCAGGCCAGTTGAACTGCCCTTCAAAAAATTCTGCCCATCGTCCAAGATGTCGATGGGTGTTAGTGATTGGCATCCCATCATCCTCGCAGATTGTTTCGCTCACACCAGACTTCTTGCTGCCAGTGGCTCGGATGAGTTGGAAGAGCTACCGGTAGTTACCAGATGCAGCTGCTGCTTCCAGCTCATTAGCACGCTTCGACCACCAGGCTTCTCGGTCCTTACGCAAGCTTTGCCCGATTTCATTACGTAACAGCCTTCGTTTGTGGTCAAATTCACGGTCACCCGGAATAGACCGACGGGCTTCGATGAGTTGTGGGGAGCCTGAAGAAACCCAGTACTTATAAACGGGACGTTTCGCGAAGTCGCGAGCGGCTTTACACGCCATTTTCATGCTGTCATGAAGTTGAAACCAATCCTCATCTATACTTTTCGGTAGAATTGTAGCTAGCCTAGAAACTAGCTCGGTTCGATACTTACTTGCAACAGGAGTTGCAACCAACTTGCTGACATCAATCCTTTGGTGACAGTCACTTCGTTGTCCACTGAAAAGTAAGGTAAGATTGGAGCAGACAAGGGCATGATCAGAGTTCAGATAGGTACTCCAAAAGGAGTGGCAGTCTTGTACACAACCACACCAGCAGTAGCTGATCACGATGTGATCAATCTGAGTCCAGGCTTGAGATGCAGAGGGAGAACACCATGTGGCACATCGGCGATGACTGTGCCGAAAGTCAGTGCTGGTCAGAAACAGGCCGTGGTCTGTGCACAGTTGCAGTAGACGGTCCCTGTTATCTGACCTGCGACCAACAAGTCCCCATCGGCCACCTAAACGACTCTCTTCTGTGCCTAGACGCCCGACCTGAGCATCCAAGTCTCTGGCTAGTACTACAATATCTGTCGAACGCACTTTCTGGATAAGAACATTTAATTGGTTGTAGAATTCATCCTTGATTGCATCCGGGCTACAATCTGTCCCGGCATAGGCGGAGATAGGTAGTGGTAGGAATGTTCAAAGAACTATGCTCGCCACCCCATGTTGTGTCCATAACATAACATTTTGCGAACGAACAACAACCAAAACCCGAACCAAGAGCAAACAATATGGAAACTGTTTCAGTTTTAGTTTGGGAAGGACGGGAGGCTTGATGGCCTGTGTTAGTTCTGGCAATGGTGGTCTCTCAGTTGATCCAACTTTCTTTTGAAAGAGTCGACGGACGGAGCCTCAACCACGTGCTGAGGTAATGAATTCCACTCGTTGATGATTCGATGGGAAAGTCGATGGTCAGCTGACAAGTAATTTGTACTGGGCTTGTGAACATTTTTGGAGTGTCCTCGTAAATTCTCTGTTTTGGGAGACAAGAAAAATGAGGGCATATCAGGTGCAAATTTATCACTAAGCAATTTGGAAGCTGTAATCAAGTCGCCTCTAGTTCTACGATATGACAACGGGAAAAGGTTTAGCTTGGTCAGTCGAGCATCGTATGGAAGCTTCGCTATTCCGGGAATCAGTTTAGTTGCCGTTCTCTGAACCTTTTCCAGAAGCTCACTGTGTTTTTTTAAGCAGGGGCTAGCCGCTTGTATGCAGTACTCAAGTTTAGGACGTACGAACACTGTATACAAAGTCAAAAACGTTTTGGTGTCGACATGACTAAAAGCCCTACGTATTGACCATAAGGTTCTAAAACCCTTGGCGGCTATTGCACGGCAGTGTGCAGTAGTCTTTAAGTCTTGGCTAACGATGACTCCTAAGTCATTATATGTCTGGACGACAGGTAGCTCAGCGTTATTCATCGTGTATTTATCTGTACCTTGATGACCGATATGCATCACAACACACTTCGAAGTATTTATCGGAAACTGCCAGGTTTGAGACCATTCAGATAACTTCTTCAGGTCATTTTGAAGTTCTAAGCTATCACTCTTACATCGTATCGTTCTCCATATCTTGACATCGTCAGCATATAGCAATGATGATAGGAGACGAGGAAGGCCATTTACATACAAGAGGAATAGCACTGGCCCCAAAACTGTACCCTGGGGCACTCCACTAAGCACAGTTCCCCAGCTAGATAACTTTGAGTTCACCCGAACTCTTTGTTGACGCCCAACTAAGAAGTCTTTTATCCACATAAATAGATTGCCTCCAATCCCGACATTTCTTAACTTATATAACAGCCGGTTGTGCGGAACTTTGTCGAAAGCTTTGCTGAAATCAATGAAGGCTACGTCTACAGGTGACTTTTGGTCCTTAACAGCGCACCAGCTTTCACGAGCCACTAATAAGTTAGTGAGACAAGAACAACCTATTCTGAAACCGTGCTGCTTCTCCGAAAGGATCCGGTTTTTATCGAGATACTTAAACAGCTCCTTCCGAATAATTTTTTCCGAGATTTTAACAACCACACTAGTTAAGCTAACGGGGCGGTAATTCTCAGGTTTGTGTTTCGTACCTGTTTTGAAGACAGGACTTACTATGGCGTTTTTCCAATCTTTTGGTAAACGACCCTGCGTTACGGATAGGTTAAAGCATATACTTAAAGGGTTCGCAACGAAGTTAGATAATTCCTTCAGTAGCCTAGGATGTAATTCATCGGGCCCCGTGGATTTACCTATGTCAAGCTTATTTAGTAGACCAAAGACATCGAGTTCTTTAATGGTCACGCTATCCAGTGTATGTGTGGGGGAATCTGTATGCACTGACGGGAAGGGTGCTTCTATGGTATATACATTGTTAAGGTAGTTCGAGAACACTTGGGCCTTACCGAAGTCGTCCTCCACTAATGATGCGGCAGTGCTGTCTTCCCATAGAGTGGGAATATTTCCTCTTCTCTTTGTCCTTTGGTTTATATAGGAATACAAACTTTTAGGACATTCTATGGATTCCTTAACAATCTTTTCTTCGTGCAACTTTCTAGACTTACGGAGGGTCGAAGCACAGGTATTCCGAGCTGTTTGATACTGAGATTTTGTCCTATCAGTCCCCAGTAACCTAAATATATCCCACATTTTTCTTCTATTACGGAGGAGGATGCGGACCTCCCTACTGAACCATGGCGGGGAGTTTCTCAGCCCCGTCGGTATAGTCCAAGGGATGTGGTGATTTTCAAGTATGAATTTCGAAATGCGTCCCAGGCCGTTTCAATTGAGGACTCTGAGTCTATTGTCCAATCTACTAACGATGCTGAGTGCATGATAACTGGTATGTTTGCTTTGCAGACGTTAGGTCTGGACTGGACTGACGGGTGCTCGTGACTGACAGTTATATGGAAGTCGAAAGTTAGGACTGTGAGATCACTTTTACATAGGGGTGGCATATAATAGAGGTTCGCAACATCATCCTCATAGTGAGTCAGTATAAGATCTAGTAAGGATGATTCAGCATCCGGGTCGTACCTTGTCGCTTTTTGCACATGTTGCACTAGGGCACATGTGATAACCGCATCAACTAGTTCCTGCTCGAAGGAATTTTCGGACGATTTAGTTCGCAGATTTACCCAGTCTATCATTGGTGCATTAAAGTACCCTAGGATTAGAGATCGACCACTTTGTGACCAAGTATTGAGACTGCTTAACAGGATCTCATTTACCTCACAGCTTGGACTGCGATAGACCAAACCAATTAGCAGCTCTTGTCCCTTGTATTTCAAGCGGCAACTAACTAAACCACATGTCCCACTCTCATGCGATACACTGTCGATAATGGCAAATGGAATAGCATTTCTAATGAATAGAGCTACTCCCCCTCCTTTACGCTTTTGTATTCTGTCGGCCCTTACTAACGTAAAACCCTCGAAATCAAGTTCCATACTATCTATAGACTGTGTCAGCCAGGTTTCTGTAACTGCGATTATGTCTGGCTTTGTAGAGTCAATCTGTACACCTAGTTCCGATCGCTTATTAAGTAAGCTTCGGGCATTAGATCCGAAGCCTATTTAAGTGGCTTCGTGCTTCACCCAAAGTGGCTTCGGCATCATTCTCTGTCGAAGCCTTACAACCCGAAAATTTACAATTGTCAGGTCCTTTTCGCCAGCGTCTAACCTAAGTTGTAGTTCTTTTTCAGCTTCCCGTATTTTTACACGGTTTGCCAACGGCAAGTCTTTACGGATGAAAACTCCTGAACCCTTTAATTTATGTCCATTCTGTAAAATTAGGTCGCGTTCGTTCGAAGACTCGAATACTACATTAAGCAGTCTGGATTGATTTGGTTTCAAGTTCGCTAGACTCCCTAGTCTGTACACCTTTAGCAAGGTTAACCCGGTGATATTTTGAGGCATGAGTTGATTAAGCAGCTGTTTAATCAGCACAATGTCATGCTCGAAACGAGCTTTTGGTTTAGAACTCTCACTCTCCTTGATTCTATTAAGAATAACTGATCTGTCACTGTGATCAGCTTTCGATTTCTCGACTACCTTTATGGGGGCAGGATTCCCTTTTATATTGCTACGTTGTTTCTGCCTTACAACCTGTACCCATTCGTCAACGCTGCTATGAGAGGCAATAACAGTTGCGTCAAACCTACTATTGGATTCCGGAGGGTTGTTGACGACCTGGGAGTTCAGGTCATGTTTCTCGCTAGAAACCAACCGAGCCTTGCGATTGCGGCTTCTAGGCGTTTCCTACTGGATGCCATTTGGAAGAAGGGGAACAGAAGAACCTTCTTTTCTTGAGTTTTTGTTTAAGATAGACCTCTTTGGAGACTGTTTTTCCTTCTTTGATCGGTGTGAGTCACCTATTTTTGAACTCACCTGAGTTTGCTTCATATCAATTTGCGTGTCGACCGAGCGAGTGCTGTTTGGTGTGTCCCGACTACGCTTTCTAAAACACTTTTTCGCAGAATCTAGCAGTGAGATGGCCTCGGTTAACAAGCTGTTTGCATCCGAACAGCACTGTTGACAAAGCCAAACGCAACGCTTTTTACTGAACCTTTTGAAAGCCGCAGGCGTTAAATTCGTGCAAACTTCGTGGTACCAGCTTTTGCACTCATCGCACTACATGCCGCTTTCAACGGGATAACGACAACCCGGACGTTGGAAACTGCTTTTTTGCACTATCTGTTCGTTAGAAATGGGTCCTTTTCAAAAAAGAGCGAGATGCAATAATGCTCAAAGACAAAAAATGATCTATGACCATAAAAGTGGAGAACTGTAGATTGTTAGGACCAAAATTACTAACAGATATAGTAGAAAATAAGGTACTCAAGAGTACCGACGATAAACCAATTGAGAAACAGTAAACGGTACTTTAACTGAAATAAATTCAATTAAAATGAAAACAGTAGTCTTGATACGTAATAAACGATCAAAACAATAAAATTTACTCAGAGAAAATACCACTGTCCTTTTTAATACATCGTATTATGTGAAGAGGACATTTTGGAACAAGTCGTTTAAATAAAATCAAGCTGACTATTATGATATTCAGTTTGATGTTTTGCAATAGCAAGAAACCATTAATTCAAAAAATTTCTGATCACCTACACTTAATTAAATCCAGGATATCACAATTTTTTGCTGATTAAGTATGGCAACTCACAGAATAAAAGATAATTTCCAGTTGATTAAACAAGTGGATTTGAATATATATCAAGGCTGTAAAAGAACGAATGGGCTCATTTCCATGGTAACCCCGAGATTAACACTTTACAAAATACCAAGTACAAAATTTTGTGACTCCCTGAAATTTTTAGTATATTCTACTTTAAGGAACTATTTGGAGTTTAACACAATATTATTAACCGAAATACTAACTTTTAGTATAGACACATTACAGTCCGAATCTCCGACATGTTCCGCAGATGACGAAATAGCGCGTTGGAGCTTCAATCCCCAAGTCCGCTAGGAAATGCGAACACATTATTCACTGAGTACCAAGTCTAATTATTAAGAAGATTTTGAATTACCTGAGTTCTTTTCTTACTTCTTTGAAGGAAAAAATTAAGCGTTGGGCAGAATACAAACGAACTGATAACGACGGAGCGTATAGGCAATATTAATATATCAGGAACATATGCACGAAGGCTATAAGAGAAGACAGGCTTCAGTACCAGACAAAGCTTATGGACAAATTTGCCTCTAACCCTAGAAGCCTATTCCGTTATGCAGCCTCTCTTCGTCAAGCCAAAACAGGAGTTTCTCAACTGCTAGGTCTTAACGGCCCGACCAACAACGATGGCGACGCCGCTGACCTTCTGGCGCCACATTACTCTCAAACATTTCAACCGACCGAGATCAACTTTACTGATGACAGTTTCATCTGCAATTCCACAGGACTTTCCGAAGTGAACCTAAGCGCTGACTTGGTGTTCCGGAAATTGCAGCACTTAAGATTAGATACTTCTCCTGGCCCGGATATGGTTCATCCTGCCATACTGAGGGAGGCAGCCTCAATCTTGTCAACGCCGCTTAGCGTGATGTTTTCACACTCGCTTAGCCGAGGCAAATTACCGGAAAATTGGAAGTTGGCTCACATCACACCAATTTTCAAAGGTGGTCGACGCAATGAACCTTCAAGTTATCGGCCGGTGGCTCTTCTGTCATTACCTTCAAAACTCATGGAGTCCCTGATATGCGACGGTTTAAATGACTATCTACTGTCCTTAAATTTCTTCTCACCCAAACAGCATGGTTTCAGGAAGGGTTACTCTTGTATAACCAACCTGCTGACTGCGGTGGACAGATGGACAAGCATCCTCGATCGCAAGGGAAAGGTTGATATCATCTACCTTGATTTCTCAAAAGCTTTTGATAAGGTTAACCATACATGTCTTATCAATAAGCTCAAACGACTAGGTATCAAACCACCTCTAATCGATTGGCTTACTTCATACCTAAAAAATCGACACTTTAAGGTTAGGGTTAATTTCACTTTATCTCAGGCTATGGAATGTCCTAGTGGGGTCCCCCAGGGCTCAGTACTAGGGCCTCTTCTCTTCTTGATCTACATAAATGATCTTCCTCAACAGGTAACGTCAGACTTATTACTTTTTGCCGACGACGTGAAACTTTGGAGAGAGATACGCAACCAAGACGATACACAGGCACTTCAGGAGGATCTGACTCGACTTCAAAGTTGGGCAGACGATAACGGACTTACCTTTAACACTTCAAAGTGTAAAGTAGTCCATCTGCGACATGTTGCAAACTACAGTTACAACTTAGGAAACTCCTCTCTAGTAGTATCCCAAGTCGAAAAAGATTTAGGAGTCCTGGTGCCCCATGATTTGAAGTCTTACGCTAACTGTGACAAAAATGCCTTCCGAGCAAACCTTGCACTGGTAACGTTGAAGCGCATTTTTGGCCAGTTTGACGGAAGAACTTTCCACACAATCTTCAATAGTTTTATCCGTCCCCATTTAGAGTACGGAAACATAGTACTCCCTCCCTCACTCCAGAAGGACAAGGTCACTTTGGAGCGTATCCAGCGGCGAGCCACGAAATCAGTTC